AAAGGGAGAAGGAGGTGATCGTGGGCCTGCAGACCGACAAGCCCCTGAAGCGCGCCATCAAGCCCCTGGGCGGCATCAACATGGTCAAGGCCGCCCTCGAGGCCTACGGTTACGAGTGAGGCCCGCTGGGCGCGGCGCATGGTGTGCGAGGGGAGGGCAATGGACGCAGGTGAAACATGCCTGCTAACAACCTCCAGCAGGCGGCAGCTGCGTTCGTGCGCCATCGCGGTGCAACTTGCGCAAGCTCAAGCTCACGCGAACGACCCTGCACCGCCTGTCGCCCCAACCCCCTCCCTTGCACCCTCTCCCACGAAGGCTGCCCAAGGACGTCAAGGACACGTTCACCAAGGTGCGCAAGACCCACAACAGCGGCGTATTCGACGTCTACACAGACGAGATGAAGCGCGCCCGCAAGAGCGGCATCCTCACGGGCCTGCCAGACGGCTACGGCCGCGGCCGCATCATCGGCGACTACAGGTGCATTTTTGTGTGTGCGTTCGCGTGTGCGTGCGTGCATGCGTGCGCATGTCTGTGCGCGCGTGGATGTGTGTGCACTTGCACATGTACTTGTATAACCGTGTATGCTGAGGGGGACTGATGGAGACGCCCGCGGCGGGCTGCTTCGCGCCGGTGCGTCACATCACTGGCGCGTGTACTGACTTTCAATGCACTGCACACCAGGTCCGCAGCTGTCCCTGTATGCTCCATGCATATGTGGAGCCCATCATTTTCCTTCTGGCTGGCCGATTTAAGCATATCTCACCGTGCACCCCCCTCCAAACTGCACCCCCGCCTCTCGGCACCCCGTCACCGCCCAGGCGTGTGGCGCTGTACGGCATTGACGCCCTGGTGGAGGCCAAGAAGGCCGACCTTAAGAGCGTGCTGCTGGGGGTGATGGACGACGAGAAGATCCGGCTGCGGGAGGAGGTGCAGGAGCAGATCAGGTGGGGCAGGGGCGGGGTGCAGCCCACCCCACGTGGGGATTGAACGGTGTGGGTCAAGGAGTTGAAGACTGGGGGTGATGTGGGTGGTGGGTGCATTGTGAGGGAGGGATGTGGGGGGGAGTGATGGCTTTGTTGCAGTTGGATCGGATGAGAAGCGACGGCATTCATGGGGCCCCTGTTGAAGGCGGAAAAATCAAGAAGTCAGCACAAGTCACAAAGGATGCCCATTGCCCATCTCATGCACTACTTGCATCAATGAACCACCCCTCAACCCCCACCGCCACCACCCCCCACCTCCAGGGCACTGCAGGAGCTCAAGGAGATGGCGGCGTCCTACGGCTTTGACCTCGGCAGGCCCGCACAGAACAGGTGCCCCGGTTGGTTGGTGCAGCACTGCAAAAGGGGGCTGCGCATGGATGAGGGTTGACAGCAAAATGCAGATGTCCTGTATTGTTTGCCCCGACAGGAGACAGCCCTGCGTCCCCTCAGCTGCAATGGCTGCGCCCTCGCCTCAGCCCTCACCAGGTGCATGTGACCACCCCTTACCCCCCTCAACCCCCTTCCTCCCAGCCGCGAGGCTGTGCAGTGGGTGTACTTTGCCTACCTGGGGGCTGTCAAGGAGCAGGACGGGGCGGCCATGAGCATGGTGCGCTGGACTGTCACTGCCCCACTGTGTTGGGACACACAGCGTGCCGGCTAATCGCTGTCGATGCTTGCAGGCGTGTGCTCCTCCAGTGGCTCGGACCGCATGCAGCTAACGTCCAGAGTGATCCCTGTAAACGTGACACTTTGGGGCGATGCCCGACCGCAGCCTTAGCCCAGCACAACTGGCCTCAGCCACGGCGTGCAAACGCTCCCTGCCCATCTCAAACTCCCACCAGGGCCGCCTCGACGCGTTCCTTGACACCTACTTTGAGCGCGACCTGGCTGTGGGGTCTATCACTGAGGAGCAGGCGCAGGAGATGATTGACCACTTTGTCATGAAGATGAGGATAGTCAGGTGGGGGGGCGGCTTGGAACGAGCCAAGGGGGAGCGGAGAGGGGACAGAATGGATGGTGGCGGATGTCGAGGGAACCTGGGGGGACCCTTGTTGCACCCGGCTGGCCTGCAGCTTCTTTGTTGCGTTGGGATGCATTGCAGCGGGCCCCTCAGTGATTCGGCCGTACCATGCAGAGTGTGCTGCGACATTGTGGCCATGTGACGGCACTGTGACAATTGCAGCATACGCATGACATTGCCGGCGGCGCAGGGGTGCTTGTGTTATGTATGCCAACATTCCCGGCCTAATGCATCCCAGTTGTCAATCCGCCAACCCCCATCCTCCTCGTAAATTGCAATGCAACGATACCTCCCTGCTGATAGACCCGAATTCACGTCGTATGGGCCAAACCACCACACGCCGGGCCTGCCCCTAATCAATCCTGCTTGCCTGCCCCCCCCCCCCCC